TGGTTCGACATCGAATCGCATTGGGGTCTAGTGTGCGGCACCCGCTCTATGCCCGCACTACACGTTGTACAGTCGTCGAACATCTACGGTACAGGGCCAGTCTAAATAAGTTTAAAAATACCGCGTGACTTGCATACGAAAAATACAACAGATTTTTTTTCGATTCGATTCGGGCTCGAATTTGGACTGATTCGATTCGATTCGAAATTTTTGAGCCAATTCGATTCGATCCGATTCGTAGAAAATGTTTGAAATTCGATTCGATTCGATTCGAAGGCAAAAACCTCGATTCGCACAGCTCTACTTCATGGTGATATCAGACATAAATCTTTCCCGAATGTGATGGAAACTTGTCATCTTAACTGTTTTCACATTTTCAGAATAATTTAGAGTTAAGTCATTGGAAAAATGCCAAAAGGGATTAAGTCGACTTAATTTTTTAGGCATGAGATACAAAAGGAGGTACGTCAACTTACCTTCTTATGCCGCAAAGTGCAAAATGAGATAAGTCCTATATTAAGAAGAGGACAGTATGTGAAGTGGAAAGAAATGGATGGATCTTAATTTTACTTCCAAGTTGAGAGTTACTATGACATATTGTAGTATGTTTATAGTCTGCTGTCATTTGAATATATTTAATGTATGCAAAATGGGTTAAGTCAACTTAGCACCATGAAAAAATGGCTTCAAAAATAGTTAAGTGAACTTAACTCATTTTGTGTCTATTGAAATTCTAATGAATTTTGGGGTAAGTGGACTAAACTCTTTTTGTTAAGTGCCGAGTGTCCCCAAAAGAGGACAAGTCGACTTACCTCCTTTTACAAACCGCTATATCTTCCATCCAATAGTAGTCATTCCCAAACCATAGAGTGGGTAGATGCGAACCATACTATAATATGCCATAAAAATCTCAGTTTGGGGTTGAAGTCACTTATCCCCTTCTTCCGCTTCCCCATTTAGTTTTTAGGCGAAGATGCTGAGATTGACAAGAAATACAAAGTTTCGAACACAAGCTTAGAAGTTCATATGCTTCCTTCAAGCTTATTGTTTTAATTTGTAGCCTTCTTGTCTTCGCTGGGAAAATGAGGCCATCCCTTCTGCCAGATGAAGTTACTTGTAGCCCTACACTTCTCTCCGCTGGCACACCCCGTTTGGTTGCCCCACTAGGCGGCGGGTCCAAGTCCCTATGCATTTCTGCACGGAAGTAATTATATACACGATTCGTGAAATAATTAATTTTGAAACAAATACACGACGCGTGTCCACCACTCAATTAAAATTATGCACACGCTAAAAAAAGTAAGAGTGCGTGCGCATAATGAAACGAACTGAAGCGACACGCCGCGTGCAGTCTACGGCGTTTCTGTTATGCTCACGCCGGTTTTCCAAATACTCGTGCGAGTAAGAATTAGTTTTCAAATCGCACGACGCGTGTCCACAATAGAGTTAAGCGTTATGCGCACGCAGAGTTTTCTGCTTGAAGCGACAAGTCGCGCCGGTAGAGGGGGTAGTTTGGCTCTAACGTCGGTGTCGTTAGGTGACCGACTGATGCAAGCTCTCGTAGCGCCTGGTGGGTAGGCAACATCTCGCCTGCATGGCATCCGTGTACTGCGGATTGGCCTACCCCAAGTCTTGCAGGCGCCAGGCCCCGGTTCCGAGTGAGAGATGCAATATTGCATTGACTTAGGCAGTTAAAAATGCGCACGACAAATAGAATAATCCTCTGTCAAGCATTTTTCGATTTGAGACCCCCTTGTACGACTTCACGCAGGGCCTAACTTTGTACAAAAATAAATGGTGACTTTTAGGTCCAAACGCCACCCACAGGCCAGACTGGCCCAGCTTCTGCCAAATGGAGTAGCGAAGTGAAGCTACAGTAACTTCGTTTGCCAGAGAATAGGCTTGAACTAGCGCGTTCTTTGTTCCGGATTAAAAGAAGTATCATTAATTTAATTTGGTTAAAAAGGTAAAGTCTGTAAAATCCGGTATGATTGCTACATCACATTTTTGATGGTTATGATGTCTTTTGTAACAAGAGCTTGCTGTCCTGACCCTGCCATGCTGACGCAAGGAACTTAAAAGAAATACAGTAGAACAGATAGGTTCGAGGAATCTGTAAAGTCGATTTCCTGTAATGAAAATAGCCAATTGTTTTGCTCCGTTCTGCTCTTGAGATATGAAGGTGGTGCAAGAGAACGCTCGAGTGATTGCCCGTGGCAATTGGTATCAAGTGCGGTTGGGGCACGGGAAGGAAAAGGGGACTTCAGTATGTGTCAGTGGAGCCTACCCAGGTGCAGTCGAAGACTTGTGTGACAGCAGTAGAGCGATGTGCTGTCGGTTGCCTTCGTACTAAGGCGTTGTTGTTCCTATTTCAATTCCTACCTTATGACAGCACAGCAGCGACAAAAGGCACAGTGTGCCTAAGCATCCCTAAACCTCTGCGTTGACCTGTCCTAAAACAAGAGCCGATCTGCCGCGCATCGTTTACACGAAATTGAGCGGTTTTACAGTACCCTATCTGCAAAATGCGGCTTTAGAGAAGTATCAAGGCTCAGTGTCGACTCGTTACCCAACTTCTAGCGGTCAGTACCGAATCATTTAAGATTCTTTTCGAGTGTGCAGATCGACCTGCAAGTCTTGCAACCGTCTTTTGAGGATAAGCATTTGCAAAAGAATGTTCTTCAACCGGGACTGCCGTGTATGGTGGTGCCATTACATCCTTACAAACTAAGCTACAGCAAATTAGCAGTTTGGCCGATTTTGGCAGCTAGGAACAACAAAAAATTCGCTCTGTACTTGAAAGCTTCGGAATAATTTGCAAGCTATATCGACGCGTCCTACCAACAATGTTCAGCGTGTGGATTACACAATGTTCTATCTGCAGAGTGCTGAATACACAATGTTTTATCTGCAGCGTACGTATTACACAATGTTCTATCTGCGAAACGCGGGTTTCGGGACACCTCCAAAGGAATGCTTATTACTCCGTAACCGCTCGTTCTTCTTCACTTTTTGCTGTCAATAATTAAACATTGGACCTTTACGATTCTTTCCCTGTGCTCAGATTGGCCTTAATGTCTTCCAGTTACTTGCAAACCAAACAAAGGTGAAGGGCTGCGCCTAAGCCCGTTTTGCAGATAGAACATTTTGTATTCAGCACCTTGCAGATAGAACATTAATCTGCACGCTGCAGATAGAACATTGTTGTTAGGACGCGTCGATATAGCAAATGGTTTGTATGACTAAATGGTGCTTTGGATGGTTTTTAGCAGAGAGGATTTTCTGTCCACCCACATCAGTATTTGTTGGAGCACCGAGTGTTCAAACCAGGATATTGAAATGGTATTGGAACAACGGAAGCGAGGACGGAAGTGTCCTACTTAGTAGCACAAATTTGGATCTCTTGCTGGAAAATTTTGAAATTATTCTAGTATTCAAAATTTGTCACGGGGGGCACCATATTTGAGTATTTACCGAGGAGGCTACAAATCCGGCAGTCTGGTGTACACCCACCCTGGCAATGTGCGATAATCCTCAGCAATCTAGTGCAAAGTAGTGCTTTTGCCGAGTTAGGCGTTATATTGCCCAAAAGCAAAATGTTTGTCCTGTAATCTTGGCAATATTTACAATCTGGTGTACACTGTACAGGGGACTTGAGGGCCCCTAGGTATTTATGGTTCACGCTGCAAACCCAACAGTCTTCTTAGTACACACAAAGGAAGAGTTGACTTGCCAGCCCACACCTGAAAGCGCGTGCTTGACAAATCGACTAATGCAGTTGGGCAACTGCAGGGAACGCTTTATATGCGACTGTCTCGGCAACGAATGATTAGCTACTGGTCCTAATTCTCTTGTCTGTCTCCGAGGTAGCTAACACGCAGCTCACATACCGAATGTTAAGCTGAAGCAATTGATTTATTTTTTCCCATGCAGCTAACTTTTTGAAGATACATTGTTCAATTTTTCGCACTGTGCTCCAGTTATTCTTCTCACCCTTCCTATCGCCAATAGCTGCCGTCGTTAATGTCTGTTCATCGTCTACATTTTTAATTCTTTCAGCGTAATCATGTTGAACTGAGTACATTTGTACGTTGTAAAGTGGATGTATTGGGTTTTACTTTAATAAAATGAGAGTTTTTAATTCGTAATTTTTATTAAGTGTTTCATTTAGAGATGGGAGTCGTGTTGCGAGGTGTGGGGTTGATGGGCTTGCAGCGCTCCGACAGCTCGTCGAACAAGGACCCTACGGGGCAAGAGCTTGAGATCGGCCCCACTAGCTCCCCACGCACGTAAGAGGCGAGGCACTCCAAATAGGCGGCTCCAGTCGTGTCTGCAGGGTCTGCGAAGCGGCCTACTTTGGCGCAGAACGCCTCGCAGTGCACGTCGAGAGGGTTGTCGGACTTGAGCCGGTGGCCGGGTGGGCAGGAGGCTACCAGGGCGTCCTTGCTGTCCTCCGTGATGCAGAGCGCGTACAACGTGTTGTCGGGCTGGTACAGCTGGTATTGGCCCACGCGGCCGCGGCAGTTGAACACGGCGCAAGTCGCAGACGGGGTGCACAGTGCGCGCGTCTGGTCGTACACCAGGCCTCGGGGGCAGTCGTAGTCGAAAGCCTTGGAGCCCACGCACAGGTGGTAGCGATTGCAGCTTGACGGGTCCGGAAAGTAGCCGTCGCTGTAGCACTGGAACTTGGACTCGGGTGCCGGGATGGGTGCGCAGGTCGAGTCGGCGGGCAGGTCGGGCCGACACGTCCCGGACACGCAGTAGGGTGCTTCCTCCCCGCACGTCACGTTGCTCACGGGCACGATGCCGTTGCCCAGGCGTGCACAAACGGTGCGCACGTAGCAACCCGCGCAAACGGAGAGCTTTCCGTTACAGACATCGTCGTAAGGCAGAGGCGTCGTAGGTTTAGCAGGTTCGGGAGTCGGCGGTGTTGGAGGCGGAATGGACCCGACACAGCGGCCGTCAGAGCAGAACGGCGTGCCTTTTTCACAGGGCATGATGCCGACGGGGACGTACCCGGTGCCCAAGTCGGCGCACACCTGCAGCGCAGTGCTGTTGTGACACGTGGTCTGCTGGCCACCGCAGTCGTCGTTGGCGTTCTGGAGACTCAGGACGCCATCTGACATGCGATGCTGGCTAGCCGCCCCGGCAACCGCCTAAACGTGAGAGGGGGTAAAACGGTTAGGGATTCGTTCCAACCATAAGGTGTGTCGAGTGAAACCACATCATCCTTACCACCAACACCCCAATGAGCAGCGCAACTGGGGGGAAATACATCTCGGGGTGTCGCATCGCCATCTAAGCAAGTGCTAAGTCGAACGCATCTTATAAGCATTCATCCCC